ACTCATAATTTGCTGTGAAAAGACGTCTCTTTTCTTTTGTGCTTTCATCTCCAAACACAATTTGAAAAACTTTGGTTTCACCTGCTACTTCATCAGGTAGGTTAGCACCATTCAGATACCAAAAGCGCATCAGGATACTAACAAACTTTCTTCCTGTTGGAAATAAATCAAAGCATAAGGTAGATCTCATTTTTCTCATTGGTCAAATATATCTATTTGCTATCTAGCACGTTGTGGTGAGACCCTGGAAGGGCAGCTGACTTCAGCCATAAAGAATGCACAATAGAATAATGAACAATAAAGCCATATTCCTGTTGTTTAGCAATAATAAAAACAGACTCTGTAGAAAGGTATGTATTTTACTGTATTATGTGGCATCCTACATAATCAAATCATAAAAAAAAAAGCTGGTTACCACTAGGTCCAAAACCAACCCCCAATACTACAAAAGTATGTAGAGTGGTGTCCTGGTTTCAGCTGTGATGAAGTTAACTTTTTTTTTTTCTAGTAGCTGCTGTGTTTTGGATATATGCTGGTAACACATACCATTTTAGTCATTACTAAGTAATGTTTGTATTAGACTTTTTCAGCTTCCTATAGAAGCTGAGAGGGAACATAGACAGGACAAGCTGCCCAAAGGAATATTCCATATCACAGAAGTCATGGTTGATATACAAACAGGGCATGGCCTGTGGGCAGGAATCCGCCATCACTCCTTGGGACAGGCTGCGCAACCACCTAAACCATCTCAACTGTGTTTGACAGGGATTTGAGTACATTATTCAACCAAAAGAAAAACTTGTTTGAGCTCATCACTAGCTTAAAATAAATAAATAAATAAATAAATAAGTCCAAAAACAAAATGTATTCCATGAAACCAGAATAAAAGTGAAGATAGCAGGATTTATCTCATTATCCAGCCTTCATTATTTTTCTTGGAAGATACATTGTCATTTCAGAAGCAACAGCTTTCTGCATATAGTAGAATAATTGTTTTTGAGCAGGAGATTGCTAAAGACTAATGATGTAAAAATTTGAAATTGCAAAAGACGAATAAGCAAGACCTAAACAGAAGTCAAAACAGTACCATGACAATAACCTTGCAAGTTCTGGTTTAATAGGAAATCAGGGAATTATATACAAATGCACTATAAACGGAAGAACAAGAAATGAGAAAAAGTACTCAAAAGCACTCCCTACTCAAATGTAGGGAGAATGCCAGCTTAGTAGCAAAACCTGGAAATAAGACTGCCCATTGCTGAAATGTTTTGGAATTCTAAACATACCATCATCATCATAATAAATGCGAACGTCTCCTTCTGTTGTGTACATGATTGCATCAATGTCAGCTGCTAAAGCATCCCTGTGGTTATCAGGGAGCAAAGAAATCTTCTCCTTCAGCACCTGAAGTACCTAAATTCAGAAAAACTGTTACCTTTTGATTAGGAAATTGAAGTAACAATCTTTTCTCCTGCAATTAATAAAATGAGCTACATTGCTAAAACACTTGTATAACATATAAAAGAGCGGAACTGAAAAAGCACTGGGAAGGTCTGAGCACTCCCAAACCCTATTTCAGCAATATTAAAAAAGATTAATTTGATGCTCAAACCAACGAAAACAAAGTATTTTAAGAAATGTTTAGAAAAGGTACCATCAAAACAAGTTGCAAAGCAAGACCAGAAAATACCAGTTAAGCTTGCTTCCACAATCATACTTACACTCTGCCTTCTCACTGCTGATTTCTCACTATGCTATATTCCTCAACTTAGAAATAATTGAATCAATAGCTATCTTTCACAAACTTATTTGAAAATCAGTTCCATTACCACTAAGTTTATCTTTGCCATTTTGTGATCCACATTTCCTTTAGAAGAAATTTATACACCATCAGAAGAGACTGAAAAATCATTTCTCTTGGACTTAAGTTCCATGTTGCATTCATGTCCATAGTATTTGAGTGTCCTAAGACCTGCACAGCGGCATTAAGTAGAAAAAGGATGTGATGCACAAACTAAACAGATGCATCACCTCAAACACCACACGAGAAAGACACATCACAAGTAAGGACGAAGCTGTGCAGCACTTACTTTTAACTCAGTTTTTAGCCTAACTTGAATTGCCATTTTAAAATAACAAACAAATACAGAGGCCACATGGAAGCAAGAGGCGATCTTCAGTAGAACACATTGGTTTCCAGTACATTTTGCCAGTATAAAATTCACTGGCCAAAGCAACAACAAAGTCGTGTGGTATCACCACCTCGACTACTACGCGCTCTGGTTACACGAGGTCTCTAGATCAACGTTAACCATATCACCTGAAGATTTTAAGATGAGCAGAGGAAGAGGAGATGCTCTTTCAAAACAACTATAAGAAACAAACTCACATTTTATTGCTATCTCTGCTCAGAGAGAGGAGGCAAGATTGTCCAGTGGGGATGCACTAGAACAGCACCAAAATTTTTGCTGCAAAGTCATGGGTGGCAATAGGGCAGGCCAAGCTCACATCCAGTAACAAGGCAGACATAGACCTGAAGTATCTCCTCCACTTGACTCTGATGCATCTGCTACCTCCGTCCCCTGGGAAGGCCAAGACAACTTCAGCAATTAAAAATTCATCAAAACACAGAACACACAGCACCGATGTTTAACTAGCCAGGTCAGCCATATCCCTGAGACCATGACACAACACTGAGGCCTTCTAGTTGAGCCCAGTAACTGGCTGTATGATCTGCTTGGGGGTGGGAATGTGTTAGTGTGGCAGGGATGAGTACACAGCAGTTTCTTTCTTCGTCTGAACTCTGGTGCACAGACTGAAAGCATCAGCATCTGCCTACACCAACAGAGGTATGCTGTTCTGCCTGCCATCCAGAACCCACTGCCTTTCAGTCCTTTCTGGTACCTCAGCAATCTTCTCAGCAATTGGCCCTAATGCTCAACGTCAAGAAAATTATTTTTATTTTTTCTATACAATAACTTCAAATTAAGTTTTGTGCCTTGAAATTAAAAGACAAAAAAAAAGTTGCAAGAAAAACAATTACCCTGTTCCGCGTTATGCTTTTTTTCCCAAATCAAACCAAACTGGCACTATTTGCAGATAATGACAGGCTGAATGTATGTTACTTCGTAATGGAAAATCAATTGCTAGAGTAAGAGATGGAAATCATTTACCTCTGCTGATACAAGTTCATCCAGCAGGTCAAGTTTACGCTGAGACAGCAGCTTTGAAACAACTGAAAAGGCCTACCAAAAAAAAAAAAAAAAAAAAAAAAAAGAAAAAAAAAGATAAATACATGATCAAATAAGATTAGGTTGGCCTACTTTTCAGACAAATGCATCGTTATGCGGCAAGGTACCCAACTATTCCGTGATTTAAGACTTCAATGTTTGCAGAGCATATCACCATTGGAATGGATGCCCTCCAGCATTAAAAAAGTGATTACGTGAACAGATAAAACCAAAGCCTCTTTTCAGTTTGTCATTTAAAGATTCAAACCTTTTGATAACAGGCAAGTAAATGCATAGCTTACTAAAAAAAAAGCATTACAAGTATCTATACGAGTTGTTTTCACTCTCTTTTTGATAGTCCAGTCTGTGTCTTTCCATTAAAATATTTTGTTCCCCTGCTCCTTTTTCCAGCCCATCTCCTGGTTTCAGTCAAAACAGAAGCTCCGGTTTATCACAAATTTCTTTATAAATCTGGTTTATTCTATAAACTTCCGGAAACTCAACCCCCCCTTCTCTCCTCAATTTTGCAAGTATAGTTACATATATGGAATAATGCCTCTACATAATCAAATACTGTACTTGTGAAATGCTGACAGAGTGTTTAAGGCTCTACAGCAAGTACAAACAAACAAAAAACCCCAGGGTGAGGTAAAACAAGTGGTTCTGCAAGCATGGCAATGGATTCAGTGCAGGGTTTTTTGTTTCTCACAAATTGATCCTAAGCATTTTAAGATTTGATCCTCTATCAGTTGGTCTGTTTTGTTTTGGTTTTTTTTGTTTTGTTTTGGGTTTTTTGTTTGTTTGGGGTTTTTCTTTAATTTCACAGCAGGCAACTCTGTAATTATTACATTATTAGTTTTGAGATTGTTACCTCTTTGACACATTTTGTTGACAAAGCTTATTGGATTCATAAATTTGGAGACACAAATATATGTTCCAGCTCTATGCCTGCCTATGCTTTGTCATTTTAGGGAAAACCAGCTAAGATGAGGCCCATTTCCCCTGGCAAGTGCTAAGCTAAGATGAGGCCCATTTCCCCTGGCAAGTCTCTAAAATATCCAGAAGCACTTTTCTTCATACTACTTTGCAGAATGACTAAATCAGCTAATTTTATTTCTGGCATCTGGGAAAAGAAAACAAGAAAAGCCAGACAAATCACAGAATCACAGAATGACAGGGGTTGGAAGGTACCTCTGGAGATCATCTAGTCCAACCCCCTGCCAAAGCAGGTCCACCCAGAGCAGGTTGCACAGGAACATGGCCAGGCAGGTTTTGAATGTCTCCAGAGACGGAGACTCCACCATCTCTCTGGGCAGCTTGTTCCAGTGCTCTGACGCCCTCAAAGCGAAGAAGTTCCTCCTCATGTTTAGATGGAACTTCTTATGTTCAAGTGTGTGCTTGTTACCTCTTGTCCTGTCCCTGTGGTTATCAGGGAGTCAGACAAAAGACTGGCCCCATCTTCCTGACACCCACCCTTTAAGCATTTATAGGCATTGATCAGATCCTCCTCAGTCTTCTCTAAACTAAAAAGACCCAAGTCCCTCAGCTTTTACTCATAAGAGAGATGTTCTAGGCCCCTCATCCTCTTTGTAGCCCTACTACAAAAAAACCAAAGCGCACCTCCGATTATTCTCACCTCCTCCAGCAGTGAGGTTCTTGGGAGCCCAAAGCCGGGCGCCGGTAGCCCCCCCCTCCCCGGTGAGGCTCGGCGGGGCCGCCCTGAGGTGCCGGCGGCGGGCCCGGGCGCCGCCAGCCCGGCTGGGGCACCGTTCCCGTCAGGCCGGCCGGCCCTTCGCGTCTCCCTGAGGAGAAAGCGGTACCGCCGCCCCCTTCGGCACCTACCTGCTTGGCCCCACGCGTGAACTCCTCCACGCTGAACTCCTGGTCGAAGTAGAGGCGGATGAGGAGGTAATAGAAGCGGGTGCGGAGCCAGGCGAAGGGGCTGGTAATCCTCCCCACCAGCACCC